AATATGTCTATTTTATTCTAAAATATGTTTGTTTATTGCTTATCGATGACTGGTACCTCCATGATGCTGAAGAGGAGTATTATGTTTAGTATCGTTGATTTCTCTCTGCTGCTTGTTTGTGTCACTACTTGAAACAAGCAAAAATGAGTTAGTTCAAATACTGATTTCGGTTAAGATAATAATTTAGTGTTTCACAGAGGCAACATCAAATACAACACGCTGCGTTTGTTGAACGATCATCTTCATCAGCAGAACGCCGCATGATTTAAAGACTTTTGCCATAAGGCACTGGTTGCTGCATCGTACAAGGAACAGTTCATCTCTGAAAACAAATCTACCTCGACCTTATGTCCTCAAGTTGTGCGTTGGCCTCATAATCAGAGTCGCCTATTTCGGCTGCCACCCGGGAAGCTCACTGGCTGGAGTATCTGGTGCCTCCTCAAGCAGTTTGTCTGACATGGCAAACCTTCTTTTCTGAATCTCCGCGTCTGTGCAAACATCTGTGCCCAAAACAGGATACAGTGTTTCGTTACGTGATCCCTTTCTCGTAGACCTGATTAATTGTCTAGACGAACGTTGCCGCAAATTTTTCAGTCGTTCTTGGTCAAAACAGTTGTTTTCATACCGTGCAATTGCATCGATCTGAAGGAGGCCAAGCATGGGCGAATTTTCCAAAAAACATTCGAAAGCTTAAATGTACTTATGAATCTAACGATTGTCGCCTAATCGATACTTAAAATACTCTTTAGTTTCTTTGAGTCTTCTCTTGTTCAAGACTATCTCGAACTGTTTATTCTGGAGGTTCGCATTTTTTCGAGAGTTCGATGAGTTACTTTAAGACATTGCCTACGGCGGCGACTTCTCCGCAACTTCAACACCGATTTACTGCATAGTCTTATTTTTATGTTACACGCTGTTTTGGTGCAACATAAGTTTATGTTCCTGTACAGCTGAAACAGCGTAGCGAAGTAGCATCTTGTCTGAGAGACTATGAAACTGCGGTTTCTCTGATTCAGAATTTTTCAGCCATGAATCACGCACCGCATTTGGTCAAAAATTATGGCAAAAGTGCATAAGATGAGTCACAAATTAATAATCATTTTATTATTCTGTGTTCAGAGGAATAACATGAATAAATGCCTGATAATCCTGATGCATGGAAGGATCGCGATTAAATCTGTTTTCCATCTGACTGACACGTCCAGTTCAGGCAGTGCGCCAAAACTTGAGTGACATCCCGCGTAACCTTTTATTTGAAACTCTGAAGTCATAATTATCATTGCAATCCTATTTTCCAATCCTTGCAATTGCCTGCCATACAAGGAGCAAGTCCTTGGTTACTCGGATCGACGATTACATTTTTCTCCCATATCATAAGCGGGCCTCTTAGACCCGTCTGTTAATGTTTAGATATCCATATTAAAGGCAAGGAATTCAACTGAAGGATTTAAGCTCAGTAAAAGAAACTAAAAGAATGATTTAAATAAATAGTTAAATAAATCTTATTTTATTATCCTTTGAATAGATTATTTAACTTTTTGACAGTTGAAATGGATCTTCACTATCAAATGAAACTGATTAATGTTACTAAAGCTTTTCAGAGCATCAACTTCTCATATAGCTCAATTGCTAACGATATGAGATGTGGGGAAGA